CTTCCAAATGCATCTGCGTTGTACACGCAGGAGTTGCCTGGGGCTGGACACAGCCCTGGTATGGCATAGGGAAGGAGGTGGGGACTGCGCAGCATCTGTGCTACCATGAGCCTGGGAACACCTGGTCCTCCTCAGCAAGGTGCAGGGGGGTTACCTTGCCTCAATGTCTTCACTTTCGTCACCCAGAATAACTGCCCTTCTGCACAGCCTTGCTTGCTGCCTCTGTTTTAGGATGGTGTTAGGACAGCTGTGCATTTAGCAGCTTGGAGTGATCCCAGCTCTCCCTGATATTAGCCCCTGAGGTATGTTACAGCTTCTCACGAGCTTCAGCCTGGCAGCAGAACAGGGGGAGAGTTGAGGAGGGAGGAAACATAAAGTGGAAATGTAACCAAAATGCGCTCTTCTGGGACAAGACTTGCACAGAAGTGTTAATCATATGTATACAAACCTGCTTAGCTGAGTGGAAAAGCCCAAGCAGAAGGGCTTGGTCCAGGAAACGGTGTGTTGGGGGTCTGTTCCCAGTGGGGCCCAGGATCAGTGCTTTCCATCATGGCAGGATGAAGTCACAGTGGTGGGAACCACTGGAAACAACAGCCTGGTCACAGTGAACATGTTTAGCTTTCTCTTTGGACAGCACAGCTTGGCTTGTGCTTCACTGTCATCCCGCAGTCTCCCTCCCACCCCACAGCTGCGTCTGGAGCGTGGGCTTACGGTGTGGAAGAGGTGCCCTCAATAGGATGGCAGCGGGTGCGGACAACGCTGTGCTTGGGGCAGCTGGCATGATGGTGCCAACCTCACCCAACACCACCTCTGCGGTGTGCCCCGTCACGGGAGGTAGGAGGCCCTTGGAAAATAGTGTGCAAAATAGTCTCCCCTCTTATCCCTAAGCCCTTAACATGGAGTGACTCAGCCTTTGCTTCATCCTGCCAAGCAGCTTATTGCTCTGTTTGGCTCCTGAACGCTTTCTCTCCGCTCCTCCTTCCTGCCTTCCTCATCGCTCCCCAGTCTGATCAAACTGAGCCCCCTGCCTGTGAGCACTCGCTTTATTTCTCAGCTATTCCCTAAATCTGCAATTTGTCAATAAGCCAAGTGCTCCAAGAGTGGTTATTTCTCTGGCCCCTGCTGCTGCCACACTTTTCCCAGCAGCCTAAGTTTCTATTGTGATTTCCGCAGGGTTTATTCAGAGAGGCGTAGGTATTAGTTGATTAAGAAATGCAATTAAGCCCTCAACAACCCAACTTTCTGGGATTGCCAGCAGCGACATATTTTTTAAGTAGTGCTTAGGTTTTTTCACACAGCTTGTGTTTGTGGGAAGGTCTTTCAGTCTTTTACTGCTTGGGGCTGTATTCATTGCTTTCTGCTCCTTGAAGACTAGGTTTGCCTGGTACGTGTGTAAACAAGCTGGCTGACACAGCAGCATGTCAGGTTTATAGGGAGAGGGAGTATCTCTTACTCGATCTGATGATATCGGGGTGGGCAGAGCAGCTTCTCAGCTTACCAGCCCATTGGGATAGTGTTAAAGGGAAATGTAAACGTCTTGATATAGAGCTACCCCTTGTGTTGCTAACTCCAGTGAAGTGCTGGCACCTACATTTTGTTGTTTAGGGACTTGTAGGGAGAGAGGGTTGCCACTAGCAGTGTATTTTGACCCTGATCTGTGATTGCATGCACTTGCTGCATTTATGCTACTCGTATTTTTCCCAAAGTTGGGGAATTTTTGAAAGATACAGCCGTGGTGCGGTGAAGAAGTTGCAGTAGAAGGGAAGCCCTGAATGTCTTTAGACAAATGGGGAGAAAAGAGAAGGACTGTGGAAAAGTTTAATATTTTTCTTGTTCTAATAAAACCCAGTGAAATGTTCTATAAAGTAATTGTTCTATGTCCAGAGCAATGTTTTCACGTAAAAAAAAAGTTAAACTGCCCTTGATTTTGACAGGCGAACGTTCTGTTGGATGGGTACAATGCCCGCTCTCCTCTCCAGCCTGAAGCGTGAAGGTCTCTTTATGGTTCCTTTCCAATGCTTCAATCCTAGAATTGTTTCCAGCGCTTTGTGCACTTCAAAGCAGGGGAGGGACTAACCCAGGGAACATCAGTTTTGTGCAGCCCTAGACAAGGACGCTGATACAGGTAGTTAATGTCTTACAGTTCTCACTCTCTGGCTTTCCACAGTACAGCTGTTTCTGGAGTGCGGGGAGCAGAGGGCAGCAGCACCGTGCTGAGAGCCTGCCTGTGTTGTAGCACATTCGTGGGATCACCCCAGCTTTAGCCTGCAGATCCATAAAACACATGCAGCTGATGAGGCATTAATGCAGTTGCCAGCCAGCTGTGATACAGGTATAGAAAAGTAGGAGCTGTTTTGGCATACATTTCTTAAAGTACAAAACTTTGCAGTGTATTGTCCTTAGGTAGATTTATGTCCTGCTGCTTATTTCTGTCTTGCTGCTGCACCACCACCAAGATAGAAAATGGGTTTTCAATACCAGCCTCTCTAAGGCTGGGCTGAACTCCCTGTGTGATGCTGTGTCCTCTAGAAAGGCAGGTTAATTAGTGACTTGAAGCTGGAAATGACTTCTCCATCCAGATAAATGTGCAAGCTTTTGATTTGACTGCGATGAAGAGTTTTAAATATAAAAGCCATTCACAAACAGTCTGTTTCTGGTTGTTTCTATCAGTGTGAAACACATTTTGGCTTTTCCCATTTGTTTTTATTCCTGCTGTCTGCTTTTCTCCAGAATTGACTTAAAACTTGGGACAAAAGCAAAAAAAAACCTGGAGTTATTCATTTAGGAAACGTCGTGCAGTGAGTGAACAAAGGCCATTTTAAATTGAGAGTCCTCAAGGGAGCTAAACACAGGCTTGCTCATTCACTCTAAATTCTCACCTGAACTTTCATATATCATCAGGCCCTCTGAGTAGGAGAGGTTGGAAGGAGGCAGATGGGAAGCTGGCTAATAGCTTTGGCATACCTTGCAAAATCAGCCCCACAGCCAGCATTTGGTGGGGAAGACAGCTGTCCAGGTGCTGCGTGGTACTTCAGCCTGTCAGAGGTTTGTGGAAAATATTAAACATCTGTTGCAGTATGTGCTGGCTGTTCTGGGCAGGATAGGTGGAAAACCTGTCCTAGCATTATTAATTAGAGATAACAAGGCGCATGGCTGTGTGGAGGAGTCCTGAGTGCCTTCTGTGCCTTGGGCAGGCGGGGTGCCCGGGTAGGGTGTCCTGTGAAGCTGCTGTCTGCACAGAGCAGTGACTGCTGCAGGGGCGATGGCTGGGCTGGTGGAGCTGTGCGAGGACCAGCCGGGGCTGTGTCGGTGTCTTTCCCGCTGCAGCCTGTGCCTCTGTGTTGCTTGTCTTGTTGCTTGTTCTCTGTACCCCCTCCTGAGGGGAGTGTGCCTGGAGTGGCCCCTTGCAGTCACTGCTGCATAAAAGAAGGGCAGAGAAATGGAGCTGGGCTATCTCCCAGTCTGGATGGATGTGGGTCATTGCTGTGTAGTCACGTTTGCACAGGGCATGGGCAGGCAGAGGTGAAATGCGCAGGCAGTGCTGACTGGCACTGCTCCATCAGTGGTGCTTTGGGGATTTCTCTTGGCTAGGTATCTAGCCCAGAGATGCACCTGTTAAAGGAGAGCACTGAAAACTGCCGCAGGTCAACTATTCCTCTGGTTTATGGTTGTAATCCTCCCAGGCCCCGTGTGCTGCCCCTCACATAGCTGAACCCTCTCAGTCCTCCAGAGCTGGCATTTTCTTCTCGTATTTCCCGCTGCCTCCCCTGTCCCACAGGAGCTGCCCTGTCTGGCCAAGGGACACGGCAGGGGTACAGCTATCCTGCATTCCAGCTGGCCATGTATCTTACCTCTCCCTTCACCTGCACATTTTCCTCTTTGTGTTTCTGAGGATTGCAGAACAGGGACAGAAGGGCACTCTTTGGTGCTGCTGTGTCACCCTGTGTCCTGTGACACCTGGAGCTGGTGTCAGGGGAGGTGTAGTGGTCCTGAGCAGCCTGGCCTTCCACCAAAGAGTTTACAGCAGCTCTGTCTGACCCTGAGGGTGTTTGCCATAAACTGGAGTGAAACCTGTAGCTTGCTTTACTAGTTGATGTTGGTAGTTGCTCGTACTGGAGGCTAGGTTTCTGTAGGACAGACAGGAGGAGAAGGGCAGTATCCAGCAGAGCTCTGGCAGTCCCTTTTCTGGCTGACACCTTAGCTGGACTCCAGCCTGCAGAATGGTTTCTCAGACCTTGTCTAAGCTGTGTCTCCTTTCCTGAGGCCCAGACCCCTCCTGAAATAACATTACTTGCTCCACTTGAGGCATTAACCTCCTTCCATGCCAGTGCTTTACTTCTGGATTTGTCACGTGGGTCCTGGGTGTCATTCCATCATCTTTCTCTCTTCTTTCAAGTTTTCCTTTGGAAGAGCCAGACTTCCACACCTTCTGCATGTGATCTGTCCTCTCACTCTATTTGAACCTCTGAATTATTGAAAAACAGGGAAAGACAAGACAAACCCAAATCATGGATGTTGCATGTTCTCCGTGCTTCACTGGAAAATGCCCCCCTTGGTAGAATCACCCTGTCTGTCCCTGCCATGCCTGTGGTAAGCCATGCTGCTCTCTGGGCATGCACAGGGCATTGTCCACCTTGCAGGCCATGTACCCCTAAAGCATCCTTTGAGCCACAGCCAGCCCTGACCATTTGTCCAGGCACGGGGAGACAGACAAGCCTAGGGAGCCACAGGAGCAGCTAAACCTGCTCTCCCCCCTCCTCTGCATTGCTACAGGAGCCAGCCACTGCAGGGAGGGGATATCCCTGGTTTAGAGCTCCGTCTGGGGCTGCAGTTTTCTGGAGGCATCTCCAGAAGGGACTCTGTTCCCGGGATGTGCGCTGCTCACAGAGAGAGCTGGTGGCAGCAGCGGGGACGTGGCTGTTGTCAGAAGCATGGAGCTGAGACTGCTTTTTGTGCAGTACTCGGACACCACGTCAATGACTGTTCCTATTCCTCTGCAGGTGAATCTGGTCCTGAATGAAGGGAAGTCCCTGGGCCTGATGATCCGAGGAGGGGCCGAATATTCCCTGGGCATCTACATCACCGGTGTAGATAAAGGCTCTGAAGCAGAGAGCACTGGCTTGAAGGTAAGAGTGACCCCAGAGTGGGCTGGTGCAGGACGTAGAGCTTCACATGCTGTGGCTGCAGAGCCACATCAGCACATAACTGCTGCTGTTCCTACCCCTCTGCCCCCAGCAAAGCAGGGCTCTCAATGGAGAGGTGAGAGTTGCATTTCTGGAGATGGCTTTTCAGGGCAGGTTCTTTGGATGTTTTGGATACTAAGCCTAGAGGGAGCAAGGTGGTTGTGCAGAGACAAATGCAGCCTTACAATTTCTGGAATAGGTTGTACTTGCCTTCTGCCTTAGCACACCCCCACACCTGATTTCTCCCCTTTGAGATAGCCTGGGGATGTTTTTGGTGTAGATATCTAAGAGTGCAGCCCAGACCTGGCAGGTGAAGAAAGTCACTCTCACCTCCCTGTGCTAGCAGGGAAGAGTTTTCTATTAAAGATCCTGGTCCCGTGCCCTCTTCCTGCATCTTGTATCCAAACCCATTACGTTTGGAGCTAATGTTTTGCACAAGGTGCTCTTAGCCTGCCTGCAGGGAATGTGTTTAGCTGCTGCGATGAGAGGAGGCTAGGCTTGCTGCGGTGGGAGCAGGTGTGTGCTAGTTTCCTCCTGCAGCACTGGCATTCACAAGGATCATGTCTTAACAAGCAGAAACAGAAGGATCACCCTTGGGGATAGAGCAGAGCTGATCTATCAGCAGCCTAACTTGGTGCGACCTCCAGTTACATCAGGCTTCCTCCATAGTCAAACAGGTTCCTAGAGGATGCTCTGAGGTTTAGCTGGGCCCTCCTGAGGCTGCACTGGTCCAGAGTTGGCTACAGTTTTGCTGCGGACCTCTTGTAAAGTGAGATCCTGCATCTCTTTTGTCTCACCATGTACACATGCACACACATCACCTCTGAGCTTCTCCAGCTTTCCCACTGTACCAGGTCTCAGAACAGGACGGGACATCCTGGGACCTCAGCTGTTCCTGGAAGGGGCATTGGGGTTTGTCGTGGTTTAACCCCAAGCCAGTAACTAAGCACCACACAGCCCACTCACTCCCCACCCCACCCAGTGGGATGGGGGAGAAAATCAGGAAAAAGAAGTAAAACTCGTGGGTTGAGATAAGAACAGTTTGATAGAACAGAAAGGAAGAAACTAATAATGATAATAATAACAATAATAAAATGACAATAATAATAAAAGGTTTGGAATATACAAAATAAGTGATGCACAATGCAATTGCTCACCAGCTGCCAACCAATGCCCAGTTATTTCCCGAGCAGCGATCCCCCCAGGCCAACTCCCCCCAGTTTATATATTGGGCATGGCATCATGTGGTCTGGAATATCCCTTGGGTCAGTTGGGGTCAGCTGTCCCGGCTGTATCCCCTCCCAACTTCTTGTGCCCCCCCAGCCTACTCACTGGTGGGGTGGGATGAGGAGCAGAAAAGGCCTTGGCTCTGTGTAAGCACTGCTCAGCAGTAATGAAAACATCCCTGTATTATCAACACTGTTTTCAGCACAAACCCAAAACATAGCCCCACACTAGCTAGCTACTGTGAAAAAAATTAACTCTATCCCAGCCAAAACCAGCACAGGGTCAAAATTTTATATGTTCTAGGATGTTCACCAGTACAATAAGTTGAAAAGGGAGCCATTGGACTTCAGGTGTATCTCTGTGCTGCTCATGAATGGGGCATGTTTGAAACTCAAACTCCTCAGGCTGTAGCATTTTACTTCATCACTCAGGGTTTCTTTTCTGGTGTGTTTTTTCTCTGCAATCTCTGCAAAGGGCTCTGCAACCACATTGTGCCCTTTTTGCTTCCTCCAGAGCAATACTGTGGGCTCTGAGAGACAGTTCTTTCCCTGCTCCTTGTGTCAGTCAAGACTCAATGGATGTTAAACTCCCTAACATTCTCTCAATCCCTTGAAATGGTGCTGGACTGCTGAGGATCGAGGGGTAATCCATTCTGATCCCTCTCTGTATTGTGAAGAGATACGTTTCTCCCTTGATCAGCCCTGGAGAGTTTAGGGCTAAGCCTTCAGCTTTGCTCCAGTGGCCCCATAAAGTCACTTAAATCTGTCAAGGCTGGTACCATGAAGTGGGTGGACAGTCTGGTGAAGAGGGCTGTGATTTGGGCTGGGACAGATACCATCCCATCCCTTGAGTTGCTTTGGCACAAAACTCTGGGCCCATCTAGCTGGGCACTGAGGTCACCAGGGTTCCTTTTATAGACAGAGGAGAAAGAGGGAGACACTTTCAGGGGTAATGCAGCCACTTCTGAACTTAGCTGTCTGCTGCAGGCTCCTGTTTCTCTCTGCTGACTCATTTTGACACAGAACAAAAATGCCAAACTTGGAGGTTTGGATCAATCAGAGCCTTAATCTCTCTCTTGGTCCCTAGCAGGGAAATGGGGTTTTGGACCCTGCCCTATGAGAGGGTCACTTGGGCACTAGGGACAAGGAGCTGTGGGAGCATCCTAGGGAGATGGCTGAGTGTTTCTCAGGGCAGCAAGCAGTGAAAGCCGCTGCTGGAAACTCCCTGCAGACCATCCTTCTCTCCCAGAGCATATGTTACTCCTCTGGCCTGGCTACCTTGCGGCTGCTCTGCCTGCACACCCGACCAGGGTACATAGCTGTCTCCCAGGGATGTCAGCGTGTGCTTGTTCATTAGCGCAAGGTTGTGGTGAGGGGCAGCAGGGACAGTGCTCTGCGACATGAGGATGTCAAGACGGAGATGATAAGAGGCACAGGACAATTTGTTTCTGCCTAATAGAGCTGGAAAGAGAGGCACAGGCTCGAGCTGCCCCGGGCGTCACACGGGTGACTTTGCTGAGTCAGTGGACCCACCATCTGAAGCAAGCCTGTTTGTCCCCAGTGCCGGCTGACCGTGTGCCAGAGTGTCAGACTCTATCTCATAAACACCAGAAGCCTGAAAGATTAAAGGCAGGAAAAGAAAAAGAAGTTGCATTGTTTTCCTAAGGTTCTTTCTGTTTGATTCATGTTTAGTGCTTCCATACTGCTCCAAATCCCTCTCTTCACTGCATGGGGAAAATTGCTTCTTTTCTTGGTTCAGTCTACCTGCCAGTGAGCTCAGCACAACTAAAGTCGCACTGCAAACTCACACACGCAGGAGCAGTCACAGCAGCGTAACACACGGCTTTATCCCTCCACCTCTGATTTCATGCCTGCTAGGAAGGCAAGAAAATAATCACATGCACGCTGCAGTCGAAGCACATGGAACAGTGCATGCTGCTCCCCTCCGTCCCTGCCAAGCAAGGTCCCTGCACCATGGCAATTGTTTGCACACCAGAGTCTCTCCTTACTGATTCTTTATATGTCTCACCTTGCTGTTCTGTTTTCTAGTAACTGATTTGTACGTGCCAGCAGGCCGATACTTTTCTGAATGTTGGGCTTTATGTGATTTCAGATACACACAGACACTTCCCACCCTGATTTGTGTATGCTGCAGGCCATAAATTTAGAACTGCTTGGAGGTTTGGAGATAAAGAAAGGCCTTTTATGTTCTGCTGTTAGACATGGTTGGGTGTAGACTGCATCCACACGCTTCCTACACTGCTCCAGGTGTTGGTGGAAGGGATATGATACCATGAGGAGGGATGAACTGATGGGTAAATGTGATTTCCACATAATTTGTTGCTCTCTGAAGTAGAAGAATTGTGGGTTTGTTCAATGTGGGCTCAACCCAACCTTGCTGGAGTCGATGGGAAGGCTCCTGTTGACTTCCCAGGCCGTGAATTCTGTGGGTTTTGCTGCTTCCACTGCATTTGTTACCAGAATTGTTTATAAGTTGATTCTGCCAGCCTTTTCATTTTAGGGAAAACCTTCTTGCATCCATGACACCAAATCAGAACTTTCAAGTGTTTTATTAAAATGTTTTGCATTTCCCTGAAATTTTGATTAAAGAATGAACAGCGTGGTGTTGAAAGCCAGTCAAAACCAAAGAAGTTTCTTTAGGCCTGAAAGCTAAGATGGCTTTTGCCTGCTACAGAAATGGGGGCCGTGGTCCTGAGAAGTGGGTCCCAGAGGAGATCTAGCTCTGCTGATGCCAGCTTGGGTACTGCTGCTCTGCTCCCTCCAGCTTCATGGCCACGAGGCAGAGCGCTCTGCAGGTGCCAACAGAAAACAGGCTGGATCACTGCAGTCAGTCAATAATTAAATATTCATACTCTTGGCCTTGGCCTTCTTTATGTTTATTCATTCATGAAACTTGTGACAGTGTGTTCTTTGGGCATGTTTTAAAATATGCTGCCTCGGTGTAAGTTCTCAGACTGAAAAATTGCAGGTTAGCAGAGGACTGCAAAGGAGGAATGTGAGCCAGTCTTGTTTGCTTTTGGCTTCTGTCCTTCCTGCCTCCTTTGTGATGTTTGCAGCGATGCCGTGCAGGAGCTGAGCTGCTTGTGCTGGCATTCATGGCTCTGCTCGTCCAGATCTCTTCCTCGTTCATTTTTTCTTGGTGGTGTATTTTGTGAGGAATTTTTTTTAAGCCAATTTTTTGTCTTCTCCTTGACCTTTACATCAGAAATAGCAGATTTTAAGTAGCTTTCTTTGAACAAACAACTCAATATTGAGTTCCCAGCACAAAGGCTGGGGTAAAAAGAGGCTACCACGATCCATGTATATCCATATACAAGAGAAGGAGAGAAAAAGAGAGACTGTAAATGGGAAGAGGTGATGATTTTACATCATTGGTGACAGTCAGGAAGCTGCCTCTTGAAAACTGGCTTGTATTTTGAGGTCTGCAAAAGGCAAAGATACTGAAAAAGAGAAGATAAAAAAAGAACCTTATGCTGCCTTGGAGTCTAGGGAATAAGCTCTATAGTGAGAAATTCAATGAGGAGGTGCATGGTTGTGGTACGCAAGACGTAACCTTTCCACTGGAGCCAGTGTGGAGTGGTTCTCCCAACAGTGTCACCTTTATGGGGACAGACGTTGCTTAAATTGCTCCTCTTCTGGGAGGCTAGCAGAAACCTCCCCGCAGCGGTGCCAAAACCACTGCCTACCCCAAGAGAC